GGGGAGAGGGGGTGCGCGGCGGCGGCGGCCCCTATCCATGGGGGCGGGGGCCGAGCTCCCCAGGACAGTGGCTGGTCTGCATCCCACAGAGCAGCATCTGTCTGCGGTAAGCCTGGGCGCCCCACAGATGGAGACTGCTCTGCTGCAGCAATCCCTGTCCGTGGGGATCTGAGCTCTGCAGCTTCTGTCCTGGGAAGCTCAAATCCCCCACGGACAGGAACTGCTGCCATGGAGCAGCCTCCCTCCGTGGGAATCTAGGGCACCCCACAGACAGAGGTTGCTGCCACCTCACTCTGCTGCCTCTTTATCAGAGGCAACAGTGTGGGTGGCAGGCGGGAGCTAGTCTTTGTGGGGAGCTGTTTTTTAAACCGGCTCCCCTCGCAGATCAGTGCCTGCCTGCTGCTCTGCATTGCTGCTTCTGATAGAGCGGCAGAAGTGAAGGGTGGCAAGGGGCTCCCCAAGAGTGGGAGCACACTGGCTGCTGGCCCCACCCCCAGTTGTGTAACCGCTAACATTTTATGTGGTTTCATGACTATTTATTTACACGTTATCTAACATTCCTAGTTTTTACAGTGGTAGTATTGTAATACTGTAAGCATGTAGAACATTTGGATATAGCTTAATTTTAAATTATTTCTTAAGGAGGTGAAGGGAAAAAATCCCCCCAAATTAGTAAAATAAATGTATGAATTTCACAAGGCATCTGAGTTCTTGTGAGGAATTCTGAAGCCTGAATTCCACATTACAGATGAGTGAAGAAGAGGTAATGAGAACACTTTTGAAATATATTGTTGGTTTTAACCTTGGTTTCTGAAAAGGAATATGACTAGTCCTTATCTAACCTGTAGTCATTGCCAGTTCAGTAGTACCAGTTGCAGACACCCATTTCTGCTCAGATCGTTTTAGTAGTATAGAAGAGGATCCAGTCCTGCTCCACTGGCATAGGAATTGAAGTTGATTTCTTAAAGCTGTGTACAGGAATATTTGAGACCTTCATGAGGTGATGAGTGGTGTGTATTCTTGGATAAAAGTGTAAATTAATGTTACTTTTATTTGACAGTGAGAGAGCAGATCTGTTTGTTTATAAACTTACATTTCTGTGTCCTAATGTCCTTGGCACAGACCTGGAATGATGGATGGTTTCTTCTTGTTTTCATGCAACAGTCACCATGTGGTGCAATATCTCACTCATCAGTGAGGTCCTGGGATACTTTTCATGACTTGTACCAAGACAAAAGGATCATCCCTCACATACTGGTGATGGGCAACCTAGGCTAGGGAATTGGCTGCACGAGTGGCCCCCCTTCATCTCAGTGGCCTGCATGATTTTTGTAAGCAAGATGATCTCCTGGGATAGATAGTTTAGCTAATTTCACTTGTGTACCTAGTATTTGTGGGTTATGCCTACTGAAATGTAGCAGTGCTTTGATTGGATGAAGAGAGCATATGGCTCTTGCAGTCAATGTGTGCAATCAGCACACACCTCACTTCATGTGCAAGTGCTTTGAGTGTGGTAGGGAAAAAATCTACATGAATGGAAACCAGCAGCATCTGGAAACCCTGCATATGAGCAGTGGTAAACAAAATGTCTTGTGGGCCACATTTAGAATCCTAGTGGACCGCATGTGGCCGCAGGTTGCCTACCACTGCCATGTACACTCTAGCTCAGTCTGAAGGGAAGGCTAACTCTTGATGAGCAGGAAAAGCAGCTCGTTATCCCCTTTGGCAGGGTTTCTCAGAAGGCTCAATCTGTTTGATACAAAGCATATTTCTGTGGTTATGAAGTTTGAAAAAGCAAAGGATAAATGTCTCTCCTCCCCCAGACAGAAATGACAGGCAGAAGAAGACTTTGCCTTTTCACTAGTCTGTTCAAATGCAATCTCTGCTTTACAGGTTCCTTACCGGTTTTTCCTAATAAATAACTGCTATCACCAAAAGTGAATTCAGGACCTGTGGTCCAAATGAACAGATGAGCTGGAAAGTGAAGGGATATTTCTTTTAGGCTGTCCAGTTTGCCACTCTGGCCTATTTGTCTTGTCTCCTTGGTCATCCACTGGTTCAGCTGAGTGGGGACTTAATTTCATTTGTATAATCAGTTTGGAATGAATTATTTAAATGTCTTCTGGTAATCCATAGCCTTGGCCACATGGTCCAAGATTCTACTGGGTCACCTGCAAACCTTCAGGCTACGTCTAGACTTGCATGATTTTCCTCAAATGCTTTTAATGGAAAAGTTTTTCCGTTAAAAGCATTTGCGGAAAAGAGTGTCTAGATTGGCACGGGCGCAAAAGCCAATCTAGATGCGGTTTTGTGCAAGAAAGCCCTGATCGCCATTTTTGTCTACACTGGCCCTCTTGTGCAAAAGCATTTGTGCAAGAGGGCTTTTGCCTGAATGGGAGCAGCATAGCATTTCCACAAGAACACTGACAATCTTACATGAGATTGTCAGTGTTCTTGCGGAAATTCAAGTGGCCAGTGCAGACAGCTGGCAAGTTTTTCTGCAAAAGCAGCTGCGTTTGCGGAAAAACTTGCCAGTCTAGACGCAGCCCCATGGTTGTCAGGAGCGCTGTATGAAGTAGATACTTGTTATCTATAATGTTCTCAAACTATCTTGAATGATCAAGAAAGCTCTTTAACATTCAGGGTGTTCTAAAAGTTGAATACAATATATTATTTCAAGAGGAAATGAAAAATTAGAAAATTCTCAAAAATTCTTGGGAAATAATATTTTGGAGAATACTCTCAGAATATTCTCGTTCTTGGAGAATATTCTCCAGAGAATAGTCTCACCTCACATCACTTCTTCAGATTTTTTCAGCAGCATTGGGTTCTCAGTATTTCAGTCAAATGTATGCTCTCTGTGGAACCTACAGTCTATTTTGAGATCGTCTGTCTCCCCCATCCTCATATCTGCAAATTCATCTTCAGATACTAGCTTTATGAGTCAGAGAAGACACGTATCAAACATCTTGTCAGACCACTATTTCTGCACGTGAAGCCTCCTCCCGCTCTGCCAGGAGCACGTGATACTTTGAAGCGCCATGCGCTGCTTGCAGGGTGGTGAGGGCTGGAGAGCGGAGGAGACTTTGTGCACTCCCCGACCCCAGGCCAATCAGGGCTTGGGGGTGGGGGAGCTGCGTGAAGCTTCCTTCGCCCTGCCCTGGCTCTGTGAGGAGCCCGTGGCACTTCAAAGTGCCACATGCTCTTTGCAGGGTGGGAGGAGGCTTCCTGCACTCCCCCACACCCAGGTCCTGATTGGCCTGGGGGTGGGAGAGTATGCCAAGCCTCTTCCAGGACATGGGTGCCTAGTGGGAAGGGAGGGCAAATGTGCTCTCCCACCCCCAGACCAATTGTGGTCTGGGGGTGGGGTAGCCCCACCTCTTCCTGCTTAGGCCCCGCCTGCTC